ATATTATAAATATATAATTTATTCATAATATATTTAAGGCCTATTTTCTCGAAAATAACGCCTTAAATAAGCAAATTTTTTTGTCTTTTCTTCAACTATTCAATTTACTTTTTTATTTTCTTAATTATTTCCTTTTTTTTTATATCCTTTCTTCTCGATTCATTTTTGTTAGAATCGTCTCGTTAGAATCGCCTGTCGTAGAATCACCTTCTACTCTCGATGGCTAACTGGCGGCTCGCGGGTCCCTACTTCCCTGATCGCAAGCGTTACCCTCTCTACTGCATCTTTCCACTATATTAAAATATCCTCGCGTGCATAAGAGAATGCTATTCATCAGCAATCAGAAAAGTAGGGGCAAAGATCCGCTGGCTGTCAAACAATCAGTTCTGGTTCAAATTATCCGGATACTTGAGCCACAAAAATGATGGTACGTGTTATCGGCGGTGTTATAAGGATTAGTCAATCCACGGCCGGATTATTAACGAGGGAAGGGGGAGGGTAATTTCACTGTCACGGTCGGCAGTATGTTATCGTTTAATCATGGAATGAAATTTAGTATAAAAAGGCTTGGATGCTTGTCCGAGCTTGTACCATTGTACCATTGCTTGTACATCGAAAAACAATTGACATTCAAAAAAGTTTCGAGAATTCGAAACATTGTGCTTTTTTGTAATTTAAGACTCTTGAAATTTAGAGAAAAAAAGAAAAAAAGCGCAGTGCGAGAAAAAAATACTGGAAAAAATACTTGAGATGCTTTGCGAATGATCAGTTTTTGTTTCTAACGATATATATAAGTAAAATACGTAAGATTCGATCGTAATTACTGAAACGGCAGTATAAAATGTCTAAAGTGTATAAAAAAAATATCTCACTACACACCACCATAAATTGTATATCTTGAAATATTTTTCAGCATTGTAGTCAATAAGAAAAGAATGGAGAAGTAAATTAGATCCAGAAAGAAGTTCGGATGTCAGTGTTCTTTTGAAAAAGAATCTTGATTAGACATTTTTGTATGCTGTTTCGTTCAACCGCAATCATTCAAAATTTATATAAAAGCATTATTTTCAAATTTATTTTCAACTATCAATTGCAAATTTATATAAGTTTCTGTTAATTTCATTTCTCAAAACAAGAAAATAAAATCAATTTGTAGGTTCGAGAATTTTGAGATTCGAAGCTTAACGACGTCGTTAGTTTGCAAGGATGTCATTAAACGATTATACTTAACAATTTTGCACAAAGCAGAACTTTCCATTTTCGAAAGCGATCCTATTGATTTCAAAAATTTTGTAATGACTGCAATACTGGCTGCAATCTTGTTCGAATAATAGTTCTGTAAATCTGCAAAGCTACTTTTAATTATAATCTTTTCATTATACAACGACGTCGTAAAGTGAAAATTCTCGCACATTAAACTTAATTTTATTTTGTAAGAAGCACATAACCAGATATAGGTCCTAAATTACTGGTCATGGAGAGGATGCAAATAGGAAAGGGAACATTCAGAGGCACATTCAGTTTTTCGCAAATTTTCTTTGGTGGCAACGTTTGTTGAGGATACAAGGATTCACGGCCGAGTATCTGGTAAGAACAATCGCAGATATTATAAAATTCGAATATTATTAAATTAATATTTATATAATAATATCGCGAATATTATAACATTAATATTTATATTAATTTTAGTTGAACATCTCTCAAGAAAAAATGGTCGGCAAAAAACGAATGACAAAATATCAACGAATAGCTGGAAGAAGCAAAAATTCGAGGAAAATGGATTTCGGGGAGGTGATCAAAAGAGAAAAGCGATACTCAATGCAATACTCTGAACGTGGAATACAATTTGCCAGACGTGTGCAAAAGAATTCCGAAGTGCGAGTTATTTCGTGCTTGCGAACTTCGTCAGATTGCCGGTAAAGCACTCGAATCATGTTCGTACAAAATCATCGACCACTTTTTGATGTTTGAATTCGAAGAATTAATCAAGGAGATGGCGTTGACGGTAGAAAAATTTATGGTACTACAAGAAAGGGCTGAACATTTAATATTTTCCGATGCCCAATTAATGTTCAAGGCAATTGTAGCAATCCGACGAAAATTTAACGAAACCGTCAACAAACCGACGGACAACATTAAACTGGCTGCTGATCAAACTTTGTTCGGTTTGAAATTTGAGTATCAATCAAGAGTATCGGACAGCGAAGGAACGAAGCCGACACAAAATACAAGTGAAACTGTGGATTCTTCGTTAAAATTGAAAACTGAAGAAATGGAGAAACCAGTTGGTGCCACGACTGGACCAAAATTTTGGTACGAAAAATACGAAGATAAAGTGAACGACTATTATGAAAATCAAAGGCCAAAAGGCCATTTCTCGTGAGGAATTTAAACGTACCATCGTCGACGCGTTGCAAAGTGCAAACTCACAAAGTGAATTGGCCGATTTCCTCGCTATAGAATTCATCGAATATTTCATCAGAAATCAAGAATCTATTATAGCTTTCGAATTCCAATGGACGAATCTCACATTTCGATGGACATCAAGAGCAGCAAGTAAGGAAGACTGTGACCAAGATTGATAAAAAATGGAACAATATGTCGTCCGAAGGAGGGAGGAAAAAGAATAAGATGATGTCATTGAATTTATAAAATTTCAATACGAAGATATGTATATGTATGTGTGTCGTGTGTGGTGTTTTGTCTTTTGTTTTAAAACTTCACGCAGAGTATCTGGTAAGAACAATCGCAAATATTATAAAATTCGAATATTATTAAATTAATATTTATATAATAATATCGCGAATATTATAACATTAATATTTATATTAATTTCAGTTCAACATCTCTGAAGAAAAAATGGTGGGCAAAAAACGCCAACGAGCATCAACATCAACATCTGCTGTTAAAACGGTCGACAATTTTTTCGGCTTGAAATTCGTTTACGAATCCACAAGAGCGACGGATAACAAAGAATCTTTTATTCCGGCTACCTCTTCGAAAAATGTGATTCGAACTGTGTGTGATTCTGCAATGGAATGCAAAAATGAAGAGACGCCACATGAGATTAGATCAAAATTTGAGAGGGCGGAGTTTGAAGATAAATTAATGGAGTACTTTAGAAAGTACTTGCTAATCATTTCCCGGCGAGAATTCATGAATGAAATCATTAAGACATTACGCAGAAACAATTCAGAAAGTGAGTTAACCGACTTACTGGGTTTTGAAGCCATGGAATTTGTGGAGTACATCATTGAACATCGAAGTAGCATTGTTGCCTGAATTCCACTGTGGAGAAGAAATCTGGTGTACCTAGATATTTCGAGAAAGAGGACAACCTATGGGGAGGCATCGAAAAAAGATGGCGATGCAGAAGAAAGATTTGAAAAATGTGAACTTATTTGTGAATCTGTTATGATTGATATGTTGGACAAATTTTTAGCGGTAATCGTCAATTGTATAATCGCCATAAGTGCCATGTATAATATCGTGTGTGAATGTATGACATGTATGTGTATGTGTGTCGCGTCTGCTGTGTTGTCTTTTATTTTAAGACTGTTGCCGAAATGTAATCCGTAAAGTAATAATGTAAAGAAAGAGAGAAAGAGAGAGAGAGAGAGAGAGAAAACGAGTAATCAAAGGCGTTATAAATTGTATTTGTGTTATAGAAAGAGTGGAAGTGTTATTCGTATATAAAAATTTTTTAAAATTGTTTAATCTAATTTTTTAATTATACCCTTGCCATGTAACGTTTCGAATTCTAGTTTCAGGAATTTAAAAGTTAGCTTTGAACGAATTTCTAATGAAAACCTACCCAGCCTGGGTGTTTTGAAAAATTTTCAAATAATATTATTTTTAAATCACTTTTTAAAGTTATTTCAAAAATAATGCATTTGTCATCAGTAGAGAGACTATTCTCATTTGCAACTTTAACAGATGTTCCCAAATTTTGTTCATTAACGGACCAAATGTTTGAGGAATGAGTCCTCTTGAAAGCTAAGACAAATTTTTTACCGTGATAACGTACGCTGATAAATTATTTTGATTTTCATTGATTATTCTTTTTCATTTGAGTATTTTGATTTCATTGATATTTATTTCGAATGTCATTTCTAACGACAAATTTTCAATCATCAAATAAGTGTTTTTTTTTTTGTTAAATAATCAATTCTTCTCAATTTATTATTTTCAATTAATTCCTTTAATTGTCCAAATGAGCTACATACATTGTTCGGCCTTACCGAACACAAAGGAGGCGGGGTTCGCACCGCGAAGGATAAACTCATCGAGCCAGGGAAGCAATTTTACATCTCGGCGGCAGGGATCTCCCGTCGACCATATTCTATGTCCTTCGTTACCTTGCATCTTCTATTGTAGTCACACCGGACTACCAATTCCAAGGTTCGTCATGCTCGACACTCAATTTTAAGGCTCGACTTTATCGCAACTTTTTTACGACATCCATAAATCCAAACTCATAAATCCATATTGCGAGGGTCACATCCTGGGACCGTTAGGAACTGCAGATACGTTCTGGGACTGACCTCACTCACATCTTTGAAACAATTCTATCTTGTGAATCAGCTGACTTTCATTAACGTTGAAAGACAGCAAGACACCGATCTGTTCCACGCTACTTGTACGTCGAAGTCAGAGCGGCACGCTACATACATGGTTAATAAAAAAAGTGGGGCTCGTGCATGACGAGAAATTTCAATGAGGTGGAGAGGTTGAAGCAATGGACGGGGTAAACGCTAGCTTCCCTATCAGGAAAGTAAAGGCAAGGCCCATGGGCCGCCAGTTAACTACATCTGCTGTATAATATTAATATCGCGATCCACGGATCGAATTACACATTTCGATGACAAATGAAAATTTCCCCAGTAGGTGTAAGAAATATTACTTTCCGGCGATCAAATGTAATAAAAAACGAGAATAAGAAGAGAAAGTATTGTCACGGTAGTCGCGTTCAAGTCAACGATCAATCAATCGGTTTCTAGGCATCGAGGAGGAGCAGTCCAAATTCAAAGTGAACGACCAGAAAGCTCGAGCGGAGGCCGAGTTCAAGAGATTGCAATTCCTCTTTTCACACGTATATCTCGGTTGCCTGGCGCACGACAGCGCGTTCTTGCATCACCTGTATGAGAATCCGGAGAAGCTCGAGTCGCCGAACAAAGAGACGATAAAGCTGCTTCGCGATTTGATAGCGAGGAACCATCGGAGAGCCATTCGCAGGCAGAACGTATTGCGGATGCGGCGGCCGCTCTACGTGATGATGTTCCAGCGCAAAAGGTTACCACCGGGTTACAAGAGGACGTTGAACGAGGAGAAAAAATTGCGCAGGCACCTGATCGTCATCGAGGTGAACTTTTTGTTGCACCGTTTGCACGAGATTCGAATGCGGAAAGATTACATCAGGTAATTTGTCGGGTGAGCCATTCTCATGTTCCAGTTATTTATTTCGAGGTCTCTCTATGGCGCCGTAAATTGACATTATCACGATTGGTTGCTTCGTCCGTGAACAATACACTTTCTGAAGAAACTTTCATTAACAGTTACTTGTGCAATTTTCATCCTCGTGACAAATTATCGTGAAATATCTCCTTAACCATTAGGTTTAGAACCACTATTGCTCAATATCTTTTCACTTGGAATTTAATGTTCTTCATAATGAAAAAGATGTATGGTTCAATTAAAAAAAAGAAAGTAAAGATAACTTTGGAAATTTCAAAATTCCTCGGCAAATACAAAAAAATTGACACGCCATATTTTACCTTCCTACTTACTCTAACCATACTTTAAAAACTTTTGCATTAAGAAACAATTTTTCATCAGACACACAATTTAAAGAGACTTCAACTAAACCATTAGGTTTAGAACCATTTCGATTTATAATGAAAAAGATGTATGGTTCAATTAAAAAGTTATTTCAGATCTATCCAAGTTACGTGAATTACCCTGTGTAATATAATAATGTCCAGTGTATTCGATTTCGTCAGAACGGTGGACCGCGTGAAAGACAAGTTCGACTCGTACTCGCTGAAGATTTTCCCGGCGAAGAAGAAGTGCTTGAACGCTGTGTACAATATAGTCGCGTGGACGTACACAGACACACGTGATCTGTCCAAGATACAGGGCAGGAAAATATACTTCGGAGAATATACTTGAAACATCACCTAAGAATTCGAATGGCGGAACTGCAACGCGACAGCGACATTGGCTGGATAAGAGCGTCGAACAGGAAGAGGGCTCTGAAGAATTACCGCAGGTAAGCCTCTGTTCTCTTCGTTCGTATCGTCGGTGATCCATCCGCAAGAAAAACAAAAAAGAAAGAAAAAAAAATCTAGCAGACTAGCCATGGCCTCAGAACCGCTGGAGCTGGCCTGGCTGTTCCACGAGCTCTCGAGATATCTGATTCACACGACCTAGCCCGATTCTACATCAAAAAGGCTCAAGACATGGGACAGGAGGCGGGCAACGAACAGTGGATACTGAATAGTCAACCTGTTCATTCGGATCGAGAACAATTAGAATTATCGGAACGAGGCGAACGAGGCGGCTCTCCTGGCCTTGTCCAACTCCAAGAATTTTGGCCTCGACTTGCTCGTCGACTTGTACAAGAGCGCGATCGACGACATGGACATGGACATGGAAAAGCTGTTGGCGTTCAACGCGATCGCGGTCAGGCAACAGCTGATATTGAACTTGATGTTGGGCGACATGAAGGCCGAGGTGGACTTCTTTTGCAGGCGGATGGACGCTATTCCCGCCGATCGACAACTATCCGTGATGCCCAGTTGCAAGCCCCTCGATTGCAAGCTGCCCTGCAAGAGGAAGATGATACTTTCCGGTCCTCCGAGAGATCCGGAGAAACAAGCGAGGAAAGCCCTATTGAAGTAGCTCGCCAAGAAGAGGCCTGGCTTCATCGATTTCGACGAATACGAGTAATGTCAATCGCGAATGTCGATCTTGTCGCCTTATCGTCAACGTGTATATGTGTACGTACCTATCATCGATCTCTGCTAAAAAGATGTCTAAAAATACACTGTTTTATGTTTATTCTACAAAATATCTAACAAAATTTATCACTTTGACTATTTTATTACTTTTTTCGTTAAAAAAGCAAAAGGTCGCCTTAAAAGGTTTCGGAAGTACGACTAGACTGAAGCAAGATTCAGGCCACCATAAAATAGTTCCCCTCAAAACAATGTAAGTGTTTTTATTCGAAATATTTTTCTCTACAGAGAATTATTTCAGAGATTGCTACCCTGTGTGTGCACGCGGCAGCTTCGTGCACACATACAAAAGTATTAGGACACATACTCTTCTTCCAAAAGTATTAGAACACTTACAGAAAATGAAATAAATTTGGAAAACTATGAAATTGTTATAATTTCTTAAATTTCTTTCAACGTTAGTTGTATTAAAATAGAAGAGGTATATATAGTTTATAGGTATTATAGTAATAATAATATTAATTTTGTACAAGAAAGTTAAATTTTGTTTTCGTCGATATATCCACCGCGTTTTTTAATTACTTGTTCGACTAATTTCGGCATCCGTTTTATTATTTTTCTATTGTTTTTGGTATTATTTGATTCCATGCATTTTGTAGTTTGTTCCATAAGTCATTTTGAGACTTTGGACACACTTTACTCTGAATTTTCTAATTCATCCCTAATCTTCTCTATTGGGTTCAGATCGGGAGATTGAGGGGGCCAATGCATTATTTTTGATTCATCATTCTGTTCTAAATGTTGCAAATAGTCTTTATAAACCCTTGCAGTGTGCTTGAGATCGTTGTCATGCATGAAAATAAAATTTTGGCCTATTAATCGCCTCCAAGATGGTATGACATAATCACGTAAAATAGATAAATATTGTTCTTTTTTCAGAATCCCTCCGATTTTTATTAAATCACTAACACTATTTGCTCCAATACATCCCCAGATCACTATTGCTGTCCGTATTTAACTGTGGGTATGATACAGTCAGGAATCATTTTTTTTTTTTTCAAGTCTTCTAAAAACATAAGCTCGCCGCTTGCAATCGAACACCTCAAATTTAGATTCGTCGGTTCATAAAACATTCCTCCACTCTTCAACTGACCAATTTCGATATTTTTTAGCCCACTGTAGTCTTTTCACTTTATTTGGTGGTCTTAGTAATGGTGTTTTAGCTACGCCACGAAGACTAACCTTGTGTACAAGCAGGTGTCCTAATACTTTTGGAGAGGAATGTATATACCTATGTGTAATAAATATACCTGTATGTATGTACGTAGGCACTTTTGTCTCTCCCGCTTTCGTTGAAACGACGCAAGTTGCACAAGAAGCGATCTGACGTCGCCTACCTTGATGAATATGAATGACAATGGCGGAAGAGAACCACCGTTGTACACAAGCGAGTGTACCAACTTTTCTCCGATAAGATTTCGGGGGCTCTGTTATCCTTGATAAATGAAGAGAATAATGTACTTGATAGAAATTTTCGATCAAGGAGTACGATATATGATGAGATTACTTTTAATCAAATGCAGTCAGAAGATAAGTTTTATTCTTTTTTGGCGATTCAACCGGTCAAGTACAAAGATGCAAGGTAAGTTGTACTATAATTTCATACGAGTCAATTTATTACATTAAATTTGCATTCAAGTCAATCCGTATTTTTAATAGACAATCACTATATTTCTATATATTTTCAATAGCATCTTCTTCGTTCAGGAAATTTAAACTTTCTCTATTCGCAAACTTTCTCTATCCGTTATCTTTGGAAATATGTATGTATGTATGTAACATTTAATTTTTTAATTCTTTTTTCAATTGTACATTTATTCTAATAAATTAAAAAATTTACAAATTTTAATTCTATTTCGCTTTCAACAAGCAATAAAAATATGTACTCAGCATTGAATAAAATAATTAAAAGTACTTTCTCGCACACATATACCTTTTATTTGGTTTTCTCTTATCAGCCGGGGAATTGAATTCCAGAAATGTCTCATCGATGAATGGACAATTGTCTGTAATGTTGTTCATAATCCATATTATATCTACACCTGTAGTTCAAAGCATCGGTCATAATACTGAGGAATACGATTTTAAAATAAGTAAAACATGATTTTGAAGTGAGTAAAACGCAAAAAATTGTGAATCCTTTCATCAGAATCGTTCATTCTTTTAGAAATGAGCGAGTAAAAAGCGAAAATTTATGTACATACATTAAAGTCATTCGTTCTGTTTTCTTTTTAGTTTTTTTTTTATAAATAATTTATCATTAATAACGAATCATTTAGGAGAACGAAAATCAAATCAATCTAGCATTGATTAGTGAAATAAATCTTAATGATTATTTTTGAAAGAGCATCAATCAAATCTTCGACTTTTTAAATATTTTAAAGTAAATTTTACTGAGTATAATATTAATGTTTTAACTCGAACGAAAGAGATTTTTGACGATAAGAAAATACGATTGATTAAAAAAAATTACTGCGTCACACCTAGTTGAAATGGATTCCTCCTAGAATCTAATCTTTTTCATCGGTGAGAAGTTCATTACCTTTATCCGTTTTTAATTTTTTATTGCAGGAACTAACGGATTAAAATGCATTACGTTCAAGAAATATTCGGCTAAGTGGTTTCAGTAAATAATAAATTTTTCCACTACGAACGAACCTAATTATTTGGTGTAACTATAATCCATCTCTGTACGCGTGTAAACACGGAATCGAGATTTTTTATATCTTGAGTCCTTGAAATATATCTTGAAGGTGTTCTTAATTCAGTCTGTTACGTGTTGATTCAGAGTGAAACATAGAAAACATCAATTTAATCACTCCTGCAAAAAGAAGAATCAATATAATTGGAATGAATTTACATTTTCCCAAGTTATACAAATTATCATTTAGCTTAAGCAGTGTCAGGGGGTACACTGCCCCCTACAGGGGATGAAGTTGAAAATAAGTTGCTTCGGTCCAGCAACGTTTTTAAAGGGATTCCATGGGGTCCCTTGGGCCACTGCAACTTCCATGGACGAGCATCGGTGGAGGGAAAATGTCTTGTCCCTCTCTTCACTGCAAAGCGGCGAAGAAAAGAATGAAGAACAAAAAAGAAGAGAAAAGACAACGATAAAAGAAAAGCATCGCGTCGAACGGAGTCCAGAATTAACACTATTAGAGAATGCTCGAGTACTCTAGAGGTCTAGTACCCTCGCGGGTGAGAACCTGTGCGTCTAGCCATCATGATCGTGCGGCGGAGCGGCACCAGTGTAGCCCTAAGCATCACTATGACGAAAACATCCAATGTTATAAAGAGAACAACACCTGCTCTCACGGCGAGCGCAGTAGCGAATGTTCCTGAGAGCTCCCCGATGTGCAGGGGCAAGGTCACCGTGGACGTTTTAGCCGCTAGAAATCCAACACTACCTGGCCTCCTTCTCCGTGAGGATCAAGGCGCCTTCTGAAGATTTCTGCCACGTAAAAACAAAGGTAGAAAAAAAGCTTAAGCATTATCGAAAGAAAATAGATGCACGAAAATATGAGAATATTTTGAGTTCATTTAATAACTGCTTACTTAGAACAATATAAAATAAATCCTTCCTAATTTAATACTTAATGTAATACTAGTTTTATATAACATATCATTGTGTTTTGTTACAAGCCATTGTGTTTTGTAACGAGATTTTTATACACATTGTTCTACAGTAAAATAATATTGTCATGATATATAAATAAATAAGTTCATATCAGTAAATGATTTATCAATAAACAATTTCAACTTTTAATTGAATGATAATATCTACATTGGAATAAAGAAGAATATGTTCAAATATCACACAAGTATTAATCGATCAAGTGTTAATAATGGTATTGTTAAAAGCTGAAAAGGAATCCCGCGAAAGAAATGCAACTCTGGTTGTTTTTAATCGATTATCTGACTGAATAGATCCGATTCAAGCTTAGATAAAGAAATGAATATTGGTCGAACATGTCAAGTGTCCAAACATGCTCATGTATCGTAGTGCCTCGGGCAGAGGAAACTACCTATTTCTCTTTGGCTTTGTTTAGTCCGACTGCCTCGATAAAAATAAGAAGAAAATTTAGATCCAGATATGTATCATATACATATATTCATCTATAGAATTAATTCTTTAGCAGAGACATTTCGAATTATAACGTATAATAAAAAAAAAGATAAGCTTCGAGTTTTTGCTCATACATTTATTATTTTATTCAACTTTTATTATATTATTTTCAAAACTTTTCGTTTATTCATTACCAAACATATCTATTAATTATTTACTATTAAATATTTATTTCCTAGTTTACGTATTTATATAATTTATATGTATTTCATATGTCCTGCAATGAACAAGTGGTATGTTAAAAATGTATTTGTATGTATCTCGCATATAACTAAGAATACATGAAAAGCATATTTTTATGAGATCCGCGTACAGTTTTAACAGCATTTGATTTCGTATGATCTCATTTATTAGAGGATGTTCCATTGGCTACAAACGGTCGGTCCCATTCGTCGATGCAAAGATTTAATAAATGCAAAGGCATTATTTATGTGGACTTTTAATTCATATTTTGTATTTTTTTCACATTTATATTGGTAGGTAGGATACCCGTACTACATTTATAATCTCTATAGTGCACAAAATAAATAGTATTCGTTTCCTCACTTGATATAATATGTTGATATAATATAATAAATTAATTCAGTAAGCGTGAAAGTAAAAATCAAGACAGAAGACAATGGATACTACTTAACAATTTGATAAATAATAATCATAATAATATCAGTTGGTTCTTTTACGTGTTCGTTTTCTTCCAAGAAAAAGTTCAAAAACTTACATGCCTGGTTACACTATCTCTATAACTAATATAAAATACATACATTCGCTAAAATTTAACGTAAAATTCAAAACTTAAATAATTCATG